CTGTCAGACTCTTTGATGAATGTATTCAGTTCTTTGATTGTGCTTCTTCAAGATATTTACACAGAACATTCAACTTCTTTACAGACAAGTTGTAAAGAGACCTGTACAGTATTATTACACTGTCTTCAAGATAAATCTTATATCATATCTTGATATCAGAAAACTTCACTGCTTCTCTTTCTAAAAAGATATTCTTAAAATCTGTAAAGAGACATCATATACATTCATCTTCAATGATGAATACTGCTGCTAATCTTACAGTAAGAGTGATAACTTCTTCATCTATTCTCAAGTCTCAATCACCTGCTATACAGTATATTGACTCAATCTTTTTCTCAAGATTCTTTCAATGAAACTCTTCAGATTTCTCTATTACTGTCTCTTCATTAGTAAGACAGTATCATCACATCTGAGTAACTCAGTCAATGAGAGAATTGTTTTCTCTCAATTACAGAAGATCTAGAATGACATTCTCATCTATGATATTGACTGTGTGAAGAAGCAGACTGCTTTTCTTGAAGATTTCTTCTAAGTCTGTGATCACACACTTTGCTTAAATTATGTTAAAATAGTGACATTTCATTTCATCTGTAAATTTCATATAATCTGATGAATCTATCTTCTTTCAATTCTTTATCAAAGAAAAGAAATAGAATATGAAGTTAGTATTCATTCTGAAGTTAAGTAGATATCTTACTGATATCTTCTATCTTCTCATTCAGAGTATACATTGTGATCATAACATGAACTTAAAGATATGAGAATTATTAATTCTTTTCTTTCTCTTCTTTATCTTCTATGAATATGTTTGTCAGAAGAGAAGTTAACTTTAAGAAGATATCTTCTCAGTTTCTTCTCTTCTTTAACTTCTTACAATCACTGATATAGTGATCATTAGCTCTGCAGTTAAAATAGAGATCTTTGTCAAATCTTTTTTAATATTTCTTTACAGTGAGTGAAGAATCAGAATACTTAGAATTCTTCTTTACTTTCTTCATATTAAAGCTGTTATAACACTGTTTAGATTTCATTATTAATTACTTAGAAGAAGTCTTATTAATCTTTTTCTCAGAGAATTGATTATTCAAATAGATTCAGAAAGCCAGGTTGACAAGCTCAGTATAATTGATTAATGAACTCTGATATTATAATATCATTGTTCACATCTTATAAGTCAGCTTTGTGAGATAAAGCTACATTTTTAATTAATTCAAATTATCAGTCAGTTTCTCTCAATATTCTTCAAATCTTATATTGAAATTGAAAGAATTCTCATCATCTTATTAATATAATAAGTTGAATCACTGTGCTACTGTGAAGTCACAGTTGTGATGATCTTTGATTTAATTCAGTAGAAAGTTCTTGAATTCTTCTTAAGTTATAACAGTATTGATACACTCAAGCTCTCTCTTCTTGATGACTTAAGTAGTCACAGAGATTTCTTCAAGAAGATTGACAGTGTATATTACTTATATCTTATGAGTATTATACTGACTCAGATTAAGGCGGAATTTCTGTTCAAGAATGCAGATAAAGCTGTAAAATTCAGATAAGATATTTCTCTTATATCTTGAAGAATCTTCAACCTTAATCTCTCTATCTTCATGATAGATGTAGGTGTGTAGAGACTGCAGAAGTGATAGAGTAGTTAAAGAGCTTATATCAAAATGCACAGCAGATTCAGAAATCTCAGATTTCTGCTGAAGTAGAGATGTACACACTCTAGAGAATGATGTAGTATTTCTTTCAGAGAGTGAGATCAGATCAGTCTCAGTACAGATACATGAGATTATATCAGTCTATTAGAGCTCAACTGATTCAAATGTGTAATCAGATTAAGTGATTTAAATTGTAATATGATGAAGCTGAAGCAGTGACTAGTTAACAGTGTTATATAGAGATAGTTGTTTAAAAAGCTGTATAAGTGAGCTTAACTATCTTGCTTGAATAGTGAGCTCATAAACTACAGAATTATTATGAGAATATCACAGATATGATACTTAGTATACTAAGAAGATTGTATGAGATACACAGTAACTCTTATATATATTTCAGTAGAAGAAAAATGAATCACTGACTTCTTTGATAAGAAGTCAGCATCTAGCTATTCTATATAGACAATGAAAAGATACTCTTCTCTCATTTCATGAGTGAGAATAGCCAGAGTAATACCTCAGCAGTGCCTTATTATCAAGAAAGAGTAATCTGCTGATCTTGTATAAAAGTGAGGTTCTTATATTCATCAATCGGATCTTTCTATGATATATCCGAATGATGTCATAGAGTGGTTGGAAACCGGTTCAGACAGGATGGAATCATCCGCATGGAAGCGATGGGCCGTGTGGAACCGCAACGGGGCCTTGGCGCGGCCGGAAGCGTGACACATCCTCAACAGAAAAGTACAAAAAGATACCTTAGCAACTGTACTCAATATATAATCAGCAGACACAACAACTATAAAATCAGTATACCTCAAGGTCTGACTGAGCCTTTGATCCCTGCACAGTGAGATATATTAAATCTAGTTTTAATATCTCAATATTCAATAGATTCTGCAAGGAATTGAGAACAGCAACACTAGGTTTCTATTAAATTTGAGAATTAACTCTATATTAATATAATCATTGACAAAGTCTTCTATTTTGAGATATAAATAACCAGTTCCTCTACATCCCGCTGGCAATATTTATATTATTATATAGAAACAGACTTATATTCTCTATAATATCAAGACTCTGAAGAGAGAAAGTCTTGATAGAGAGTATACAGTAGTGTATATCTTAGAAGTTTCTATCTCATTCTTCTGCAGTAGTTAATGCAAAAAAAAAAGATCTTAGAAATAGTTTTTTACTTCTCTTGAAAAAGTAAGGTGTTTTTCTCTGGGTTTTACACAATATTCTTACAAAGAATTAAAAACAGAGTTGTTTTCTGTCATAATTTTATATTCTTTTAAGTAAGAATTACTTTTTCAGTGGCTGAAGAGCTTTCATTAATACTTAATTCTTTTTTACACTCTTTATTAACTGATTTGAGTTGCACACTTGTTGTGTGAGGAGAATTGAATGATTTAGAATAAAATTGAATAGTTTTAATCAATTTCTCTGCAAAAAATTGATTTATTTTTTGTCAGTTTTTCTCTTAAAAACTGTCATATTATCTGATTTATTATCAATTGATATCATATCTTTCCTCACTGTATTCCAAGAAAGAGATTGTAAAGATTTTATTGATTTATCTTAAAAATCAATTTTAGTTTATTAGATTCTCTTCAAAAATCTAACCTAGTTACTGAACTAGTGTGAAAAAAATCAGGTGTTTTATACATAAAAGTCTTTTATTCTTCTTTTGAAACAGTCTGACCAACTTTTCAATTGAAAACAGACTTAGAAATATCTCAATTGAAACAGTCTGATCAACTTTTCATTGAGTGAAAACAATGAGTTCAAAAATACACTCAGTTGATGTGGAAAAAGATGCTTTCTCAAATGCTATTTCTGAGATTGAAATTCTGAAGAGAAGAAAGAAAGAAGAAATAGAGAAACAACAAGTTCTTGAAATACAGGAACTTGAAAAAGCAAGTAAGATTCTTGAAAAGCAGTGTCTGAGTGAGATAAATGAAGAAGTTCTGTTAATTCTTCATACTCAGACTAGACAACTACAGAAGATGATCAAGTTCAAACTTGAAATCTCAAACACAGTTCAAAAAACCTTGAAAATTCCTAGTACAATCACTGACTCTTCATCTTGCTCTTCTTCTTTCTTTTTTCCTACTTCTTCTTCTTCTTTGAATCAGAAGAAAATATATGCTCAAGCAGCTGAATCTGCTATCTCTAAATCTGCTGTCTCAAAACCTGCTCAAAATCCTGAGAAAACTGAGAAGAATACTACTCATACCTCTATTCATAGAAAAGTGAAAAAGAAAATACAAAAAGAGAAAAACTTTCAAATCTTCAGAAATAGAAGACTTATTCTCAAAGTCTCAAATCAGGACATTCTGCAAAGAAACAAGTTAAACTCAAATCTCATTTTCAGAATCAGAAATGAAATTAATCAGCAGTTCTTTTTTCAGTTAATAACTGATATTAAAGTTCAAAAACCAGTTATAGCTTTAATTGAGTTATCATTCTTTGAAAACTTCATCATTCTGACTACAATGCCTGAATTCAGTGCTGAATTTCTTATTCAGAATAAGAATCTCTGAAAGTCAGCAGCAGAATCTTTGCTAAATACAACAATTTTATCTGAAAGAGATGAAAAGTGAGACAAATTCATTCTTCATAATATTTCAGTTGAAATTTTTGACTGTGAAGAAGAAATGCTACTTCTTAAAAATGAATTGAAAGAATACAACTCTATTCAACTGAGAAAGAAGCCTGTATAACTAAATTCAATTGAGTTCAGATAAAGCAGAAGAAATGCCTCTGTTCTAGTATATATAAAAACACTTGAACAGTCAAAGATCTCTGAAGTAAGAGTAGCAGGTTTGAAAATGAGAGTTCATGAATACAAAGACTCAAGAATGAATCTCAAAGCTCAAACACAGTATTCAAACTATCAAAGATATGAACACTTTGCAATCTCATGTTTTAGAGACTCAAAATGTGCATTCTGTGCCAGAGATCATGTAAGAAATCCCGCTCCTCGCGGATTCTTTACCTCTATTCCTATCTCTTGTGTAATCAATAGGGCTAGCGGCCCTTGGCTACACACAACTATATAGACTGAAGTTCACAAATACTATTCACAACTCAGCTTGAATACTATTATACTGTAAGGGGCCTACGCCGATTAGATCGGTATAATATTGATAGGTCTTATATAACAAAGATAAAAACGCTAGAGAAGGAAAGAAAGAGAAAGTGCGAGAATCAGCGATCGAGGTGGATATTTATACACATATGTGGTGGCGTACGCGGTGGAGCTTCGGGGCGGAAGAATATACACACGTTCGTAGCGGCCGAGGATCGGCGATCGAGAATGGCCGAGGATCGGAGCGTATGCTACGCGCGTTCGTAGCGGCCGCGGATCGGTGATCGGGAATGGAAGAATCTATGGAGTGTAACGGAATAGTCTATATGATTGATCGGGGTGGCGGCCGAGGATCGGCAATCGAGAATGGCCGAGGATCTGCAATCGAGAATGGCCGAGGATCTGCAATCGAGAATGGCCGAGGATCTGAGCGTACGTGGAATCTGTGGAGTGTAACGGAATAGTCTATATGATTGATCGGGGTGGCGGCCGAGGATCGGCGATCGAGAATGGCCGAGGATCGGAGCGTACGTAGAATCTGTGGAGTGTAACGGAATAGTCTATATGATTGATCGGGCGCAGCCCGCCACATATACATTTAATCTCTACATTTTATCTTTCTACTGTGAATACTTCTAATAGTTAACAGTATATATCATGTCAAGCTGCAAATACCTGAATAATTGCCTGTGAGTACTTATTCTTATATTTCAAGCTCAGTCAGTCAGTAATCACCTGTTATGACTGAAAGAACTAGAAACTTATATACTTTAATCTCTGTGAACTCTACTGCAGACATTCAGAAGCAGTCATCTGAATTATAAATAATCTCTGTGAAAGAAGACTCAGAGAACTTATTAATTACTTACAGAATATCATTCTCTGCATCTGTGACAGAGAAACTCACTGAACTCATGAATAAATCAATCTCAGTGAAGAACATTCTTGAGCATCTTCTATAAGATTAAGCTATTTTTCTATAAGAAATGCTTACTGTCTGTAAACACTCTTAAACTGAGTCTCTAGACATAATCTTCAGAGACATCTATGAACTGAAAAGAAACTTTCTTAAACTGTGATTACTTAAGACTACTTATTAAATTACAATCTATAAAAGCTTTTACAAGTTTGTATTTGAAATTGACTCACAAGCTCAGCTATGTGATATGAAAGATGAAGAAGCTGTTATCTATATAATGATAGATCTCTATTACACTGAAGTCAAGAACTGGCTGAATTATCTAGAGAATAATTATAAGAGATCTCACTGATCTATTCTTAAAATCTATCTAGAGAGTAAGTTGAGAGACTCTGTAAGTCAGACAGAGAATATCTGAGCTGTGATTATTAATATTAGAAAAAGAGATGAGAAATCTAATAAAGACTACTTACAGTGCTTTATAAAATTATAATATAAATTGAGATCTGTGAAAACAGGGCTCTGAAACAAGATCTGAATGATGATATTTATAAAGAAGCTGAATAAAGACATGTAGAATAAGCTTATTAAGTAAGACTCTAAGTTCTTGACTCTGAAGAAACTGATGACTCTCATTCACTGCTTGCAGATCACTGTGAGAGTCATAGACTTATAAAGAGCAGATCACTGATCAGCTCTGTGAGAGTCAGAATAACAGAGAATAGATTTATCAGAAAAAGATGATAAGATATAGAGAGATTCATATCTGACTACTAAACAGAGAGAGAGAGCTTTATAAGCTTCTGTAAACAGAGTATATAACAGAGAGATCAAGAAAAAGAAACTCTGCTTTATCTATTCTAAATCAGAACATCTCTGTATAAACTGTTCAGATAAACTAAAATAGAAATTTGAAGAGTTATGAACAGAGTCAGCAATAGCCTTCTTAAGAGTCTTGAAACTGACATCTGAATCTGTTACTCTCTCAATGAAAATACTTGCTTATAGAAAGAGACTGTGCTGTGATACTGCTGCTCTATAAGTATGAGAAGTATTAATAAACTCAGAATTTCAGATCACTGTGATATCTCTAAAACTCACAGAGTATATAAGCTGAAAGATGAAAACTGAGAATCTGCTCTTATAATAAGCAGAATGTGAGAACTCAGATCTGAGAGCTGAGAGACTTATAAAAGTCATCTTTGAATTATAAGATCTCTCTGAAATCTGAAGAAGATTTATAGAAACTGTGATTATTGTAAACATTATAGATAACATGTACTTAAGACTTATATAACTTCAAAGACATAATTCATACATAGCTGTCTATGAGTCAGGTTTATACTTCTGATCAGTGTTAACAGACTTACTTATAAAGATAGAATCAGTTGATGCTATAGAGTTAATTAGAGAAGACAAGCTCATCTATATAATAACTTTATAAGTGTCTGAGAATCTCACAGTCATGAAAACTGAGCTTCAGATATCAGAGAAATACTGAGATCTCACAGAGATATTCAGCTCAGTAAAGACAGCTGAGCTTTCTTCTCACTATAAGAAGAATCTGATAATAGATTTAATAGAAGAGTAGAAATTCTTCTGAGAATTAATCTATAAGCTCTCTCATCACAAGACAGAGACTCTGCAGACTTATGTAAAGAAGAATCTGAAGAATGACTTTATCTGATCTTCACAGATCTTCACAGAAGCCTCTGTGATATTTGTAAAGAAGAAGAATAAAGATCTCAGATTATATATAGACTACTGCAATCTGAACTTTAAGATAATAAAGAGTCACTATTCTCTATCTCTGATTAAAAATGTAATTAACTGTCTTATAAAAGCTGTTATATTCACATAACTGAATGTAATCAATATATATACACAGCTGTAAATACAGTCTGAGAATGAATAAAAGACTGTCTTTAGAACTGCACTGAAATTATTTGAATATCTAGTAATATCTTTTAATCTGACTAATACTTCTGCAGTATTTCAGTCTTTTATTAATAAAATACTTCATGCATATCTGAATATCTTCATGATAATATATCTGAATAATGTGATAATGTACTTTACAAAGAAGAAAGAACACACTGAGTATGTACAAAGTATGTTAAAGATCTTAGATGAGACAGAACTATATATTAAGCTTATAAAGTATAACTTCAGTACTTATCAGATTAATTTTCTAGAATATGTAATTATCACAAATGATATTTAGATGAAATCTTCATGAATTGAGACTATTCTATTATAACTGAAGTTAACTAGTATTTATAAGATTCAGATCTTTCTGAGCTTTGTGAATTTCTATAGATAATTTATCTTTACATTTATAAGAATCTTCTTAGCTCTTACAGACATATTGAAGAATGAAAATAAGAAGAAGTCATCTTATAAACAGAGAATAAAAAGATTATTAAGAAGAAAGAACTGTAAGAACTTTCTTATCTTAGAAGCTTACAGAGTCTTTACAAGATTAAAACAGATATTTATAGATATAGTGATACTGTTTCACTTTAATCTCTTACTCTTAATTAGATTGAAGACAGATATCTTCTTCTTTATAATTTCAGAAATAGTCTTATAACTACAGTTAAATAAGAACTGAGTTTCAGTGATCTTTTTCTCATAGAAGATGTAACTTACAGAGATTAACTATAATATTCATAATTAGAAGCTTTTTATAATAGTGAAATTCTTTCATCACTGATATCACTATTTTGAGAGTTTTATAATAGTGATTACTGTTAGAACTGATTATAATAGCTTATAACAGTTTACTTCAATTAAGAAACTCTTACAGTGATAGATTTACTGAGCTCAGAGACTGAGTGAGTTCTGATTCAAGATAGAATATATCAAGAGAACTAAGAACTCAGCAGATGAACTCTCTCACAGATCAGACTATATTAAGAAGATCAGAATAACAGACATAGAGAGACTAGAGAAGATAGAAAAGCTTTACAGAATACTTGAACTGAGTGTTATAAAGAAATTGACTGAAGAGTCTCTCAATTCTCTATAAGAGAAGAGAGAGAAGAGAGAGAAGAAGTCTATATAACTACTCTCTATAACACTGAGAGTCAACACTCTGAGAATCTTTATAAGAATTCTTGAAAAGAGTATCTATAATCTGAAGAGTTTACAGGCTTTGAGAAGCACTGTAAAAGACCTGATGTAAGAGAAAACAGAGTATAAGTCTTTGTAAAATCTTCTATTCAGATTATCTGAACTGCAACTGAAGAATGAATATATTTAGTATATTCAGAAACTGCTTACAGCAGGGATCAATTCTGCAGAAATAAAGAGTTAAAGAGACTTAAATAATCTCTTATAAAGAGAGAACTGAATTTATATATCTATGAATAAGTTTCTATATATAGAACTTATTAAAAGATATCATGATTCTTCTCTAATGAGTTATTTTACAGATACTAGAACTTATAAGTTACTTGTAAGAAAATACTTCTGACTGAAGATATGAGAACTTGTGAAAAAGATAGTAAATTCTTATACTATTTATCAGAATTCATGAGTAGTATAGTTCAGATTATATAAAGAACTTACTTCTCTATTCATTCTGCAGAAACCTTGAGAATAGCTAGAAATAAATATTCTTATAAGTCTTTCTGAAAGTAAGAATATATATAATACCTGCTTTGACAGTGTACTGATAATAGTGAATCACTTTATCAAGATAACACACTTTATACTCACTCACAGAGACTTGAAGTCAAAGAATTTAACTCATATCTTTATTCATGATATGATCTGATTATATGAATTGTCTGTAAATATTATCTCAGACAGAGAATTAATCTTTGCAGAAGAGTTCTAATCTGATCTGATAACTATACTGAAGATTTTATAAGATCTAAGCACAGCTTTTCATTAACAGATAAATAATCAGATAGAATATTTAATAAGTATATTAAAACAGTATCTGCAGTGCTTTGTTAATTATGATCAGAATAACTGAGTGTATTGATTATCACTCACAGAGTTTATATACAACAACTCAAAGCATGTTAGCATAGATAAAACCCTCTTTGAGATACTTACTGAGACTTATTCATGAATAATCTTGATAGATCTGTGAGAGTATACTATAGAGTGTGATAATATCTGTGAATAGGCTGAGAGAATTCAGAAGATCTGAGAGAAAGCCTGTGAATTCTTAAGAAAGACTCAAGAGTATCAGAAGAGATACTATGACTTCAAGCACATTGTAAAGAGTTTTAAGAAAGATGATAGAGTCTGACTGAGTCTAGAAAATATCATTATATAGAGATCTAGTAAGAAGCTGAATCTCTTGTAGACAGAGTCTTATAAGATTATGAAGAAAGTTAGTTTACAGTTCTATAGATTAAAACTGTTATCTGAGTTACAGATATATAATATTTTTCATGTCTCTTTACTCTGTAAATATAAGAAATTCTTAGAAGAGAACTCTGTGACTCATCACTCTGTCTATAAAGCACTAGAGAGTAAAAGAGAATATCAGATTAAAGAGATTATTAACTCAGAGAAGTAAGATTATAAGCTCTGATTCAAGATTCAGTGATAAGAGTATTCTGATAAGATGAATAAGTTCACTTGAGAATTATTCAGATAGATAAGATATCTGCAGAAGCT